CCCCGCCGTAGCCCCGCCCTCCGGCGCAGAGCAATGGGAGCTCTGGATGTTAGCGGGTGGGAGGCGCGGCCGGGTTGCTACAGCCGGAGCTGGGCGGTGGCGGCGGTGGCGGTGGCGGTGGCGGTGGTGGCGGTGGTGGCGGCGGCTGTTGCCTTAGGCGTCTCGCCGAGACCGAGGAGGTGGCGGCGCAATGGAGGGGCTGGAAGGTGAGGAGGTGAAGGGGTGCGGGCTGGGGGACTGAGAGTGAGGTGGCGGGGAGGAGGGGGCTGCGCTAGACCTCAGTTCCGAAGAGGCGAGGGCAGGTCCGGAGGGGTGGACTCCGCCGCTTCTCCCAAGGCCCGGGCGTGCGGGCGCCCTGCAGCCCCCGACTCGGTGGAGCTAATGATCCTCAGGCTGCCCCTCCTCAGACGGCCTTCACCTAGTGGTTCCTCGCCCCGAGCCAGATCTTGCCTCTGGTATACGCCTGCAAATCCCCTCCTACCATTTTCTCCTCTTGCCTGACTCCCTGAGTGTTCTTTTGGTGATCACAGCCTCCGACCAGATTTTATTTTCCTTGCAAAGTGTATTCTCCGTTAAGGTCGATGGCTTCCCCACGGCCAGCCTTTGATGCGGCTCCAGGGTGTGTCTCCAACCTAGAGCTTCTGATACTTTCCTTGGCCACTTTCCTTGGTTTCCCTAGGTAACTGTTTTTGCATTTCTACAGCATCTTCTATCGGAGAGATGCCAGGAGCATCTCTCAAGGAAGTGTCACTGGCCAGCTTTAGAGCCGGAACAATAGATTAACAGAAGGATTTAAGGGCTTATTCAGGAGGACTCTGTTAGAGAGAGCCAGCATTGATTCCTTATCTTTAGGTTTATCCCTGTGCTGTAACCACGACTCCAGAATTGCTTTGTTCCCAGTTCTTTCACTTCTGTATTCTCTTCACGGGTTTTATCCTGTGTAATACAGCATTCCTTTAAAAACAACAAAGGAAAAAAAAACCAGCTAGCATTAGCAACGACAGTTTTAAGATTCCTTTCCAAACTGTGGTTAATATTTCTGATGAAGAATATGCCTGCAGAATTGAAGGATCCTGTTGTCTCGATTTAGCCTTTTTTTCTTCTCTTAATTTACATAGATTCAGGTGGAATTAATAAGCAGAGGCATATGAGCCCAGTGTGTTGTTGCATGGTAGAGTAAATTTTGTCAGGTTGGGTTATGAAGTGAAAAGTAATAAAACTTTCTGCAGTGACCTAAGCAAATGCAGTAATGAATATGATAGTATTTCATGCTTTTGTCCGAGGGGAAACTCACAGTAAACACCTTGAGGATGATATGATGATGTTCCGTTTGTGGACAGCTACCGTATGCTGTGACAAATGAAGTTCTTGTTCTTTGCTTATTTATTTTAGGCGGATCACTCACATTTCCATGAAAAAGGAATTATAATGATAGTATTCCTTACTCAAGGCACTTTTGAGATCTTGGAGGCAGTTTATTTATTTTTTAATAAATTTTCAAACATCATGGTATTGTAGCAATGTGGGTGGGATCATGGGTTCTGGAATTCTCATAAAGTTGTAATGCATATGAAGTTCTTTAGAACAGTTTTTCTGCGGATTTCTAGTCAACATTTGTAATTAAGGCAAAGGTTTTCACCTAATTTTTCATTTGTTTGCTAAACACCTGAAACAGTGTCTGACTGAAAGTAGGTATTCAATAAATATTTGTTGTTAAATAAATGACTATGTCTATGATGGCCACCATTGTAGGCCCTGGGGATGCAGCAAAAATAAAAAGTTAAAGCCCTGCTCTCATTGAGCTTACCTTTTAGTGAATCTTATATTTTAGCAGTGCTAAGACATTACTATTGCATTACATTACTAGTAAACTCTTACTATGAATGCTTTTAAAATATAATGAAAACCCATTATAATATTCAGTTACATGGGTGGAGAAATACATAAATTCTGATCTAATGGGCTATGTTATCATGGGCATATTTTAGGGACCCAGGTTGTGATGGATTATCATTAAACAATATTTGTTCTTTACTCGTCGTTTGATTTTTTTTTTTAACAATGATTTGCTGTCATTAACTATGATATGTTTAATTAATGAATTAAGTTAAAACATGAAATTATTCTTTTTTTAGGGCAAAACAGTTGAATATTTGTAATTTCAAGTGGTTTAAACTAATAAAACAAACGCTCTAAGAATCTTTTGTTGAAGTTAGACGGTTCCTTTCTTTTCTTTCATCTTATACTTCTTTTCCTTCTCCTTTAAAATTGGTCCTTGTTAAGTCACACTTTGCAAAAGCAGTTTTGAGTTTTAAGGTTACCATTCATTCATTCAGTCATCCATGCCTTCACTTAATAACCAGTGATACGTTAGTACAGTGATATATAAGATAAAGTTTTTCCCTATTGGAAGTTAAAGTCTAGCACTTTGAAGGTGTCTGATGAACATTATATTGCCGTGTCCAGTAGAAAATCTTCAAGTTTGCTTAACATATATCATAATAATTGAGCAAATATTGTACTGCTTGACAATAGACCCATAGAGAAGCTAGTTGAAGCCAGTTAACAGACTAATCTTGATTGTAAAACCAGAAAATATTTGGACCCCTGAAAAATATTATTGAAGTTTATCATACTCTTTTTAAAAATTACTTACATGTAGATCAGATATCACATTATTTTTGGTCTTTCTGGAACTTATGCTTCTGAGAGATGAACTATTAGGCTGAACACTGTATTTGAAAGCCAAGTATAAATTATTGCTAATGATTCTATATGATCTGTATCCGAGCACTTCTGTGTTGTATGTGCAATTAGAATAAAGCCTCTAATTCCTTTTCTCCTGAAGCTCGTCCTCTATAGATATGTCTAAGGGCAACAGAAGTAGTTCTAGACTTGGGAGAGTTGCAGTCTCATGAGCTTTTCATCTGTAAAATGGAGAGATGCTAAACCCTAAGCAGGTTTTATCCATATGTATTGTTTTTCCTGTCATAAGATCTTGATAAACAGTTGTTGACAATTGGGACAGAGATCAGGCAGCCTATTCCTCTTTTGGACTGCTGAAATTCGTGGATCTTAGTGTCCTGCCCTCTAAAACTTGATTAGAATTCTGAGCACTCTTTTCTAATGTAGCTCTTGATGTAGTTGAAGACAGCCATGCTGTCCCATTGAGGTGCTTTGTTTTTCCCTAATCTAAGCACTAGTTTACTGAATAATTCTTTATCTTTATTAATTTACCTAGCTTTTTTTTTTGGTATTGAATCTGATGCTAGGTTATCATAATAGGCAGTGTGTTGGAGAGGTCTGTGGATCTTTGCTTTGTTTCTTTTTTAGTGCTGTGATTTGGTTGATCTGAACTTCAGTTTCCTCAGCTGTAAAAATTGGAGCTAATAAATACCAATCTATCTGAACTATATTAAATATTAAATGATGTAACATATATAAAGCATTTAATAAACTGCCTAGTACATAGAAGTCCCCCTCCAGTACATGTTTATTGGATGGATAAAATTACAGGAAGTGTATTAGGAGCTTAAGAGTGATTCAGTACAGGTGAAACATAGCAGGCTTGGAAGAGACTGGGCAGTCTCACCAGATAATTATGGCAGCAGGACAGATTGGAGAAAAGAGAGGCTGGACAAACACAAATGTGATAAGGATTTGAACTGAGGCAAAAGTAGCAGGAATTAAAAAGGGGTAATAGATTCAGAAGACATTTCTGAGATAGAAAAATGAGAGAGAACTGCTGAATGTGAGAGGGAAAAAGGAATCAAAGATAAAGCAGCCTTCTAGCTTGGACTAAGGAAATGTTGATATCTTTAACCAAGAGAAAGACAAGTTTGGAAGATGATGTAATGAGTTTGGCTTCAGAAATGTTGTGTGTGTACTGTTCTTGGGGCATATCTGGTGGAAAAGTTTTATAGCTACTTATAAATATCTAACTGGAGGTTTTAGTTTAGTAGTCATCAACATATGAGTGACAACAAATGGATGCGTTTGCCCAGGGAAGCAATATTTAACAAATTGAAGGGGAAAAAAGGAAAAAAACAAACTTCGGGAGGAACTGATACCAGTTTTAAGATTGAGCAGAACAGGGAATTGAAGTTAAGGGGCAGTCTTTAAATAGATTTAAAAATTGTGAAGAAAGGGAAGTGGGGGAGAACTAATATTTATTGAGTAGTGAGTATGTGCTAGAAAAAGCCTATAGCACCTGCTATTCCTGAAGATTTAAGTATTAACCGGGTCAAACTCTGCTTGGCTTGTAAAATCTGAAAAACTTGGGAGACAGAAATGTCACTGAAGCTAGGAGAGAAAGGACTTCAAAGTTGGAAGAGATTGATCAGCAGTGCCTCATGATGTAGAAAGGTCTAGTAGGATGAGGATTCAAAAGAGGGCTTTCAATTTGACAATTAATAGATTAGTGGTGATCAGTTGTCTCTGTTTCTTAAGGTCTTTACTCTAATGCCTCTTTATTAAAGTCGCTTTCCCTGATCTTACCCACTTCTCAGGCACACATAGTATTACGACTGTATTCTCTCCCCTTTCTCTGCTCTATTTTTCTACGTTGTACTTTTCACCACATTTTATATATTGAATTGTTTTTACATACCTGTTTCCAAAGAGTAGAAGCTCCATAAGATCAGTGTCTGTGTTTTTTTCCATCATTGTTTCCATTGGCACTAGATACCTTTTAGGGGCAGAAGGGATTTCTACTGGGGAAATAACAGCATGCTAAACTGTTTTTTGGTTTTTGATTTTTTGTTTTTTGTTTTTTTTTTGGCTTGTTTTGAAGACTGAGGA